GAGCACCAGCGCGGAGCAGCAGCAGCAGCAGCAGCCCGAGCTCGCGGGGGGGCCGCGGCCGCGCCGGGGCTTTTGTGCGCGGGCGCGGGCAGCGCTGCCGAGGCCAGCGGCGAGAGGGGAGCGAGAGGGGAAGGGCTCCGCATCTCGGCGCCTGTGCCCCGTTGTACGCTGCAAGCGGGGGGGTGCGACTAGGGGTGCATCGTGCGACTAGGGGTGTATCGTGCCCCTCGCAGGGTGACTCATGGTGTAGAGCAGGAGCCGGCACACACAGGGCTGCTGCAGTTAATGTTCCTGACGCTCCTCCATCCTCGCGGTCTTTACCTGTTCTCAGCCATCACGGCTCTTTGGCACGTGCATGGTAGCAATAAGGGCCTGAAGGGCCTGCCCTTGTCTGACCTGGACATGGCAGGACACGGGGCTGCTTCTTCATCAGTGGAGGTGCAGCTGCGGCTCTGGAGAAACAGCGGTGCCAATCCCCACCAGCTCCATCATGAGGGAGAGACACTTACTCCTCCATAACAGAAGTAATCCCACTTTAATAGTTTAATCACTACAAATCCTCATTGCGCCATCGCTTACAAGCAGCTTGTGCAGGAGCGAAGGTGCCGTTTCACGTCCCTCTCCAGGTTGAAAGCAGGATGCCCTGCCGGAGGGCTGCTCCCGTCGCTGCTCCTGTTGCTGCTCCCATTGCAGCTCCCATTCCAGTTCGCATTGCAGTTCGGCGTGGGCACGAGCAGGAGCCACATCCCTGAGCCGTTCTGGCTCGACTCAGCCTAGCTGGGCGCGCACCGCGTGTCCCCCTTCCTCCCCTCCACATCTGGCAACCCCGCTCCCTGCCCTGACAGAGAGCGGGCCTGCACGCGCAGACATGGGGGCGATGCAAAGTTCGCAGGGCCAGGAAGGAGAAGGGGATGCGGCGGATGGGGTTGGAGCAGAGCCGGCACCGCTGCCCACAGCCTTCAGGGAGCAGCTTTCTCCCGTTTCCATTTTTGCAGGATATCGTTTGCTGCCTCCAGGGTGGCTTCCTCCTGGATGGACACGGCCAGTGGCTCCCGGCCAGCTCCCCTTCCCTTGTTTACCCAAGCACCCTAGTTTTATCCCAAAACACCACAAACGCCCTGCACTCAGGACAGGGAGGCCACATCTCCCCTGTAGTCCAGGCATCCAGGGCCTGGCTTACCTTGGCAAAGCAGAAGCGGATGAAGCGGCCATAGTCGTTCTTGTGCGGCCCCGAGTAGAAAGCGGAGAGCGGGATAGCGGCCAGGCCCTGGCCAGGAGCAGGGACAAAGAACAACGTGTCGTCACGGCCTCTCCTTGCCAACGGGCCAGGCCAATGCAGAGAGCCTCAGTTTACCTTGTTCTTGACCATCCACTTGGCGAAGCGGGAGTCGAAGGGCTCGTCGGAGCCGGGGGCCTCGGGGACGTCAGATGCTGGGGATGGAGGAGAAGCTGGAAGCTCGGCCAGCGCCCTGTTGAACCCCACGGCGGGCGCCCCGCTCTCCCCACCGTGACCAGGGCGACTCACCAAAGGCGGACACGTCCGCCACCAAGAAGTAGGTGCCCTCGGGGACGATGGGCGTCATGCCAGCGGCCTCCAGGCTCCGCATCAGCCGGTCTCTCTTGCCCTGCAGCTCCCGCGCCAGC